TTTTGATGTTACCTTAGAGTCCCTTAACAAGGAATGCATCCCTATGAAGTGTATTTTGATCTTCTCTTTTGCAGACTTATTTACCTAATCCTGGAGAAACATTGTAGATAAAAATGTCTGTTGGATCCGAAGAGAGACCAACATTTTTTGAAATTTTTAAGACACGATGCAACAAAGCAGGTATTGACAGGTTTCATAATTTTTGATGTTACACCGAGAAAATGTCAGAAAAAATAGATGCATGCTTGCTAAGAAGAACCCAGTACTTCAGGGTTCTGTTTACACTATAAACTTTGTTATGGAGTCATAAATCCACTTAATAAGATAGTCGTTTATCTGCTAACCGGATGATAAATGTAGAACACCTAGTGAATAGTAAGAGGACTGGCCCCTTGATTAGCAGCAATAGTATACTACTAGCAAATCAGAAGCACTCATAATGTTACTTTATGGCTGAGGTTGCCATACTTTTTGGTTTCAGCTCTCCTTACATTCTTAAAAACGATCAAGGAACCCCAAAGAACTTTTGTTTATGTAGGGTACCATGCTAGAGATTAAAACTAAGAACTTAAAAAAATTTTACTAATTCTCTTAAATAATAAAAGTAAACCCATTTTTTTTTTTTTTTTTTTTTTTTGTCTTTTTCTTGACCAGTAAGGGGTTTGCAACCCTTGGTGCGGTGTCGCCCGCACTGCGCTCAGCCAGTGAGCGCACCGGCCAGTCCTATATAGGATCCCAACCCGCGGTGGGAGCGTCACTGCGCTCCCAGCGCTGCACTCTCCCGAGTGAGCCACGGGGCCGGCCCATTTCATAATACCATAAAGAAATTTCATACCATTTCTATGAAAAATATATTTTCCAAAACAACAAAAATAGAGTGGAATTGTTTTTACAGTTTTGCAGTTTTCTTTAATGTCTAGCTTAATAGAAGAAAGCTGCCTTCTCATATCTGTATTTGCATTTAATATGTTGCAATATATTGTTTTGGTAGAAGTATATGAAGAAATTCTAAACTTGCAGATAGATAGTTGGAAAAAGGAGTACTTTAATAGTCTTCAGTTACTTGTATTTTTTTTGGTCTTGTACTTTGAATAGATCTTTCAAATATCTAGTAGATATTTCAGTAGCCCTTTTTGTATTGTAACATCATGCAGTGATTATTTGGAGGATAATATTGGAATTATAGATATTCCAAATATTGACACATTGCATTAAACGGTATTTTAAAAATTGCATTCATTAATGTCACCACTGATCAGAAAAGTCTTGTAAGAAGAAGTCAGCCATTGTGAGTCACAGGAGGTTGTAATTTACGTTTACAAGCTTGTATTTTATCACGGGCAACAAAGTGTTGCTTTCCTTGCAGTGACAAGCCCACTACACTCATTTGTGAGAAAATGTCTACCAAATTATCCAAATTGGACTAACTTAGTCATTCTTTCAAGTAAAAATGGAGTTTCATGAAAAAAGCTCTAGTTCAGTTCACAACCCATCACATGAGTGCTTTTCTAGACAACTATTTTACCTCAGTATGCAGAAGTGTTTTATGCATACTTCCCATTTTGTCAGAGAATATTAAAAAGATGTTCTCAGAGATCAAGCTTTAATTAAATTAATTTTTGCTGCTTCATTTAGGACATTCTTTAGTTAAACTGGCATTGTTTTTTTTAACCAAGAAGGCATGGTGGTAAGGAATACAATGATTACCAATACAGTTTGGTGCCACTGCCTTACCTTATGCAAATGCACCAGCAGTTTTACCCACCATTATTTTTGCACCATCGGTACAAATGTCAACATCATGAAAAAAGCAAATGATGCCACTGTATTATGAAGATAATTTTGACCTTTTGAACTTCCTGAGTCATGAGAACCGCTACTGTATAGGATGGATAGATGATAATAGAAATTTTGTCATTTCTCTTGAAGAGAGAATTTTGTTTCTTAACTTTATTTGGGTGTGTACATGTTCCTTGTACCCATAGATTTGCCACGTACAGTTACGTAGTCTTCACAATTATTTAAATTGTGTCTGTGGAATACAATGTGAATGGTTTTTGATTCTGAATTGTGAATATTAAGGTAGATAGAAAATAAATAAAAATGAATTAATTAAATTTTTAAAAAGCTAATATAGCTAAGTGCTATCTCCTGACTTGTGAATTCTTGTTATACAAGATTCATAAGAGAATGTATTAATGATCTTGCTTAGTTAATATGCCCTAACAAAGTAATCCACAGTCAAAATATCAAGCTTCCTTTTCTTTATTATGATCATTTCTTACAGATTTAGGACCAATAAGCCTTAATTGGTTTGAAGAACTCTCTTCAGAAGCTCCACCCTATAATTCTGAACCTGCAGAAGAATCTGAATATAAAATCAGCAGTTATGAACCAAACCCATTTAAAACACCACAAAGGAAACCCTCTTATCAATTGGCTTCAACTCCAGTAATATTCAAAGAACAAGGTATAACTCTGCCACGGTACCAATCTCCTTTAAAAGAATTAGGTACATATAGATTAAACGTAGGTAAGTAATATGATGTGGTAAATGGGAAAAACCTGAATTAGAAATACAGGGAAGCCTTGCTAAGTCTCTGATTCTGCTCCCTGGGAGGGATTTTCTTGTTCATCACTCTCTTTGGCCCCTGGGAGGGCTGATGGGAGATTCTTCCTTTTCTGGTCTCCTCTTTGCCCACATCTGAAGGAGTATGTCCTGCCCCTCTTGAAAACTGGACAGATTTTATAGCCTGCTTCACTTGCATGTGGATTTTTAGGAGCCTAAAGGTTGTTTTAAGTCATAAACATTCAAAAGTTGGATTTTTGGCAATATAATTTTCTCAAAAACTGATATATTTGCAATAAACCCATGCCTTTCATCAATAAAAACACAAAGTTCTTTGATTAAAAAAAACCAAAACAGAAACCTGTGTTAAAATCTCAGTTCTGTCATTAACTAATTCTGTCATGTTGGGCACTCTGGCTTTACTATCGTCCTGAAAAATGGAGACAATGAAAACACTGGATAGGTTTGTATTAGTGAAAAAATGTAGGCAATTAATAATTGTTCCTTTTCCTCCCTCTTTTGATTAATACATCCTGCCAGTTGAGATTTGCTGAATTATGTCTTTCTTACACAAAAAAGAAATCTAGGACTTGTTTTGATGTTAATTAAACTAAACTATATTTCTGTAGGCTAACACAGAGGACAGAGATTATTTTATTAATTTGCTGTATATATCTGTTAATTTGGTAGCAGTTTCTCTGACCTAGGTGCCACATGTTTCCAAGCAATTACGTGATATGATTATGCATTCGGTCATTCAAACATTTATTACCTACTTGACATAAGTAACATACTTTCCCTATGCGGTATTACTTTCTAATAAGGGCAGTAAATAGTACACAGATAAAGTACATAGTATAAGGCTGAATGTGGTAGGTCCCAGAAGAAAACCATAAAAAAGTACAATGAGTGTTGAGAAGAAAGAAGGCAAATAATAGTATGGGGGGAGTTAGGGAATGATTCACTAGAATTGAACCTTGGAAGGGCCGGCCCGTGGCTCACTTGGGAGAGAGTGGTACTGATAACACCAAGGCCAAGGGTTCGGATCCCTATATAGGGATGGCTGGTTAGCTCATTTGGGAGAACGTGGTACTGACAACACCAAGTCAAGGATTAAGATCCCCTTACTGGTCATCTTTTGGAAAAAAAAAAAACTGAAACTTGAAGAATAGGTGAGATTCAGAAATTTGAAAATGTGGGAACAACATAAGGAAGAATACATAGTTCTGGGAATAGAAAGTAATTCAAATTGGTTTGGGGTATTTTGTGTCTGAAAGGAACCAGTAGTCAACCTAAGGCCAAGTAAAAAAAAGCAGATTAGAGGCAGGTGTTGAATGCCAGGCTAAAGAAATTGAATTTATTTGATTGCTGTTGAGCAGAGAAGTCACATGCAAATTTGATTGTGTTACTTTCTGCATCAAACCTTCGATCACCACCCTTTGTCCTCATGATAAAATCCAAACTCAATATGGTTTACAGGGTTGTTTGTAATCTTATCTCTCCTTAACACTCTTGGCTCATCTTGTCATATTCCTTCACCCCCATTTACCATTCACTCATACTGAATTTCTTTTAGTTATTGAAACTGCCATGCTCTTTGGCTCTTTATACATACTATTACCTCTGTCCACGCTTACTGTCTTTCGACCTTTTGCCTAGCTCATTTACTCACTCATCTTTCAGATCTTAGCTTATTTATCTCTGCTTCTGAGAAATATTCCATATCTGCCCTCATGGAGCTTCTAGAGAAAGAGATATACATAGGAGATTATAATGGTATACATGATTTGAAATAGGAAATTCATGGCACTAGGAAACCCATGTACAAGGGAAATACAGGTAATGGGCAAAGATTTTCTTACTTGGTATTGGATATCAAGAGGTATACATACTGTTTGGTAAATATTTGTAGAATGAACATTAATTTTGCTTTAGAAAGCCTAATAATCTGACAGCAGCCTTTGGAGATATGTTCTTCATAATGTGATGACTGGACCATCAGAATCTTCTGGACTACTTATTGAAAGCGCTGATTTCAGGCCCCGCTCTGAATCTCTTGAGTTAGAGCACAGTGTTATAACACCAAGGTCAAAGGGTTTGGATCCTATACTGTCTAGTCACCAAAAAAACAAGACAAATCTCTTTAATTAGAATCTCTGGAAATGAAGCCTGTGAATCTACATTTTTAACTACCTGGGTGATACTTATGGAAAGGAGAGGACAAGGTAGGAAGATCAGTTAAGAGATGTATAATGGTCCAGATGATAGGGGGCAAGTGCCTGAATTATAGTAATAGCAGTGAAAGTAGATATGGAAGGTAGAAACTACAGCACCCTGCAGCCTAGATATGGAGGATTCAAAAGAAAGGAACAAATGACAGGGTAGAGCATGACTTAGATATAGTGGTGACATTCATAGAAATTGGAAGCACATAGAAATTGGAGTGAAAGCAGGTTTGGGGAGGAAAGTGTTGAAAAGATGGGGAAAATTGAGTTTTGACTATAGTTTGAGAAGGTAATGGGATATTAAGGTGAAGATGTCCTGTAGGCTTTGGGGAATGCAGGCTAAAATTACAGAAAATACAGGTAGGAGAGAAAGTCATGGAAATCAACAGTGTGTTTGGAAAGTCAGCTAAGTGTGAAAGAATGGCATCATTAAAATTAAGTCAAATCATGAAAGGCCTTGGTACTATAGAGTTTTATGATGAAGTTGAACTTGATCTTGAAAATAAGATTTTGAAAGGTTTTCAGCAGAAGAGTGATATGATTAGATTTGGTAATTTGATAGGTTTTCAGTAAATGTCCTTTTCCCTCTTACCCTCCATGATACCATGATATTGTGTGTACCTTAATGATGCAACATATCACTTTTACTTTGTATTCCACTTGTATACGTTTCAAAAAAAATTTCCCCTGCCTGATTATGAACTCTTTGAGGTTAAAGCTGTATCTTGAATTGGATCATCCAAAGGGTCTTATGAATATTATACACTTAATATGTTGTTGAATGGGGGGACATCTCTTGAAAGATTCCTTTTTAGGGGGAATTGGGAAACTGAAAAACTTCTTCAAACTGAACTCCTTATACATTCTCCTTCCCAGTGTAGATGAGACTTTTTTTTTTTCAGATACTTCAGGATAATAAAAACTCACAACCCAGAGTATATATATATCCTCACTGAATTATGGTACTGTTTCAGGAAAGGAAATTGCCAATAGTGAACTTAGAAGTCATCACACAATGAACGCTAAGGTGGATCAAGCAAATGGTGTTACCAGTCCACCTCTAAATTCTTGTCTTAGTGAAAGGTATGATAAAGCTATTATATTAAAAGATTTAAGTGAAACATTTTCTTACATATGTTTTTGTTTTATGGAAATGAATCTAATTTTCATGCTAATATATTGGCTGAGAGCCTGATGGAGGATCTTCTGTTTTTAAATAATATATTAGGTTCGGGCCGGCCTGGTGGCGCACTGCTACAGTGCGCCACTTGGGAGCGCGGTTGCCCTCCCGCCGAGGGTTCAGATCCCACATACAGACCAGCCGCTCACTGGCTGAGCGAGGTGCAGGCTCAACACTGAGGGTTGCGATCCGTTGCCGGTCACGAAAAAAGACAAAAAGGAAAAAAAAAAAAGATAAATAATATATTAGGTTGAGTCCTTTAGTAGAATAATTTTTACATTAGAAACATTTACTTTGTTTTTCTTATAATGTTGAATTGGCTGGTTTTCTGTATATTCTGTGACTTTTTAAGTAACAAAAATATTAATGAAGGAAAGCAATAAATCCCTGAAGTATTAGTTTAAAATAAATTATTTGTGTATTTTGAATCTTTGGAAAGAATATGATGATAGTATAGATTTACTTCACACAATTTTTATTTTTTTTTAAAGATGACTGATAAGGGGATCTTAGTCCTTGACTTGGTGTTGTCAACACCACGCTCAGCCAGTGAGCTAACCGGCCATCCCTATATATAGGATCCGAATCCATGGCCTTGGTGTTATCAGCACCGCACTCTCCCGAGTGAGCCACAGGCCGGGCCTACTTTACACAATTTTTAAATTCAAAATATTCATTTCCTAGCAGCTGAAACTTGTGAGTGCTTTACACATTGCTTTCAATGGGCATTTTAAACATCGCTTAGTGCTGGCCAGTTAACTCAGTTGTTTAAAGCACCACCCTGTAACACCAAGATCAAGGATTTGGATCCCTGTACAGAGCAGCTATCAAAAACAAACATTGCTCACTGGTTACTTAATTCTTCATGAGAGATTTACTTTTTAAAAACTTAAAAAGTAGTATGATTTTAACCGTTGATATAACTGAGTCTTTTTTTTGGGGGAGGGGGGGAGGTTAACTGGTGTTTTGTCTCTTTTTGCTGTTTCTGTTTGTGTTTTTTTTTCTTAAGTAATCTGACAAATTTATTTTGTTTTAGTCCTGCTGTTCTACAATGTACACATGTAACACCACAAAGAGAGAAGTCAGGTATGATTAAAAACAGGCTTTTAATTTTTAGAATACGAGAAATGGTAATAAAAATAAAACAATTATTTTCCCTTTTTCACCCCCAGTGGTATGTGGAAGTTTATTTCATACACCAAAGCTTGTGAAGGTAAATATTCTGCCTAATTTATTTTTATGGTGTAGTAAGTGAGAATTTGACAATGGTGTCATACTTTTGTCCTGAAATATATAAATCTGTACCTAGAATACTGCCTCACATAGGCATTCAGTAAATGATAAATGAAAAAAAGAGTGAATGAAAAAAATATTCTTAATCATCAGTGCATTTTTATGAAATAAACTATTGTCTTTCCTTCCAGGATCAGACACCAAAACATATTTCTGAAAGTCTAGGAGCTGAGGTGGATCCCAATATGTCTTGGTCAAGTTCTTTAGCCACACCACCAACCCTTAGTTCTACTGTGCTCATAGGTAATGCTGGCAAATGTATGTTATATAAGAAAAGGTAGATAAGGTTGATAAATTGTCATCTCTAATGCTTCTGTTAAAAATAAAATATTAGGGCCGGCCCGGTGGCGCACTGGAGAGTGCGCCGCTTGGGAGCGCGGTGGCGCTCCCGCCGAGGGTTCGGGTCCCATGCGGAGACCGGTTCCCGCTCACTGGCTGAGCGCGGTGCAGGCGCAACACCGAGGGTTGCGATCCCGTTGCTGGTCCATGGTACGGGCACGACACCGAGGGTTGTGATCCCGTTACCGGTCAGTAAAAAAAAAAAAAGACAAAAAATAAAATAAAATAAAATATTAGATTAATACTGTATTTGATAAATGTGTTAGCAGCTTACAATAATTTTATTCTATTTAGTGTAGATTGGAATCTACATGGGTACATTAACTGACATTAAATCACAGATACATTAGGTGGTCGAGCATTATGTTCTAGTGCTATGTCATAGCTTTACTCATTTACCTACACATATTAGCATTTGAGAAGCAGTGTTTGCTGTAATTGTGAATTTTTTACAAATCAGTTTGATGCTTTGGGCTTTAATGCAGCATTAAATAAAATTTTTGCTCTCTCTACATAAATATGTTCTACAGGTCTGTATTGTTAATGGTACTGAATTGAGATCTTAACTTTCACAATTGTAATTGTACATCTATGTGATTACCAGAAACGTTTAATTCGTCCGTCTATGGACTGTAAGCAGTTTGCAGGATCATCATAGTTTTTTGACATGTAGTTGATATTTGACAAATCTTTAAACAAATTAATATATTTTAAATATTATACTAGTATCCTTTAGACATTCAGCATTTTGAATAAATGGGTCAGTGAATAAATTAATAATTTTATTAATTTACTAGAAATATTTACTATTGTAAAATAACTTAAAATCTTTGAGTAGCTGAGATTTAGCTAATCATGACTTAGTATTTGAGAGGCTATGAACCATTCTGTTTTTAATTTTATAAGCTTACAATAAACATATGTTTTAAAAAATGTGTAAATAAATGTGATTAAACAGTGTGAACAAATATTTGGAAGTTTAAACAAACACGTTACAATTTATAGGCAAGGTGTGAAAGACTGAATAATAATAGAGAAAAAGTAAATATTCACCAACAACATTCTTCATTTTTTTTTAGAAGATACCATGCTAGATCATCATTTCTCAAATTGTAGATGATAACCCGTTAATAGTAGTAAAATTTATTTCATGAGTCACACACTTTTTTTTTTTCCTTTTTGTCTTTTTTACTGACCGGTAACGGGATCTCAACCCTCAGTGTTGCGCCCACACCGCGCTCAGCCAGTGAGCGGGAACCGGTCTCCACATGGGATCCGAACCCTCGGCGGGAGCGCCGCCGCACTCCCAAGCGGCACACTCTCCAGTGCGCCACCGGGCCGGCCCTCACACACTTTTTCTAATGATGTAAAAAGAATAGAAAAATTAGAGAGCTTAACACATAGTTAACGTAGCCAGATTTAACAAGTAAAAATACAACATATCTAGTTAAATCAGATAAATAATGAATAATTTTTGAGTATATTATATCATGGGACATACTTATACTCAAAAATTATTTGTTGTTTATCTGAAATTCAAATTTAATGAGGTATCCTGTATTTTATACGGCAACCCTACCCATAGTAAAGTTTTTTCTGTGAAAATTTTCTACTTACATGTGTATGTATGTATATAGAGTCATAAAGTGTATATATATAGAGAGAGAAATAGCGCTGGCTGCAAGTGTACTCAAAACTTGAATTTAAATTATACCCAAACCAAGATTTATTTATTTATTTTATTCTAGCAAAAGAACATTCTATTTTGATTTCTCTTTAACTTGGAGTAATTTAACTTTCTTCTTTTGTTGCTTAGGTGAAATAATATATGTAAAAAGTATTTTGAAAAATAAGAAGTGTTTAACATACTGTATACCTTTAGGCTGTACTATTGTCTAAATAAATGCTAATGTATCCAAGTTTTAGCTTTTAAATCATCACCTCACAGCTTCATCTGATTTTCTGAGTCATTATACAGTGTTCCCATAAAGTCAAGGTCACCAAACCATAGTTTCTTACCATCTTGTGAGTGGTACTAGGGAAGTGAGTATAGCTTGTTCACTATGTTGATTGACTTTCCTAGTTGCTGTACTTGGGTCAACTCATTTTATTTCAAATGTGTCATTTAGTGAAGTAGAGTATGTGTTTTTGATGTCTAGCTAAAAATTATATAATTTTTGCATTAATTTTAGTGTTTAATGTATAATATAACACAAGTAAATTGAATTTTTATTTTACAGTCAGAGATGAGGAATCATCCGAAAATATATTTTCTAATGACAGTACTGCTGTAAGTAAATATGACAAATTGATTATAATGTTGAAATTGCTTACAATTTTTAAGCGTCTTGATAAATTATTTATCTGGCATTTTTCATACCCTAATTTATAATTTATCTAAACCTTTGAAAAAGTCCCTAAACCTAATCCTATATGTGATTTTCTTTAACTGCCTGTGAGACTCGGCTCTCTCTCTAAGAATAAATTGTATATGTATGTGCATTGGAATATTTTATACTAGTGATTTTAAACTATAACTTTTACAGATTTTGAAAAGCTGTTTTTCTAATCATGACGAAAGTCTGAAGAAAAAGGATAGTGTGACAAACAGTGAAAACAAAAATCGAAGAGAAGCTAGAAGACATGGTAAGTTCTTCTATTTAGTTGAACTACTATTTTTAATTTTCATCATGGAAGTATTGCTCCTCTTAAAGAGAAAACACATTGCTTCTCCTTTCTTGACTACTGAAGTAGTGTTTTTATCTCAAGGTATTGAGGAAAGAAACTAACTTGATTTAGATGACAATATTTAAACATACTAAGACAATACTATCCAATATCTTATTGTGACACAAAAACAAAACAAAACCTATCAAAATTTTCAGAGATAAAAATAAGACTTATAATTAACAGAATATGTAGTCCATTTTTTCTAATTTGAGACCAAACATGGTTGTTATACCATAGGTTACCTAGTCAGGTCACTGAAATATTGCATTTTTCTTAGTATGTGTGTATGTCCATATAAATACATAGGATTGGATATATGTGTGTAGTAGCATGTATGTATGTAT